ATTATTTTTATTATTTTTATTATTTTTATTATTGCAAAAAATGAAACAAGAGAAAACTACAAAAAAAAAAAAAAAAAAAACTTCACTGACTCAGAATTACGTCAGAAGGATTCACACCTAAGAGTGCATTGTGCTTAATTTATTTTCTTTTTAAAAAAGTTATAGCGAATATTCATTTGGAGTTTTATGCTATGATTATGCATACATTAATAAATCTTGACTACATTCAGTTGTCGTCTGAAATTTTATGAAACTTTTTTTTAGTACTTTTCTAAAACTATATGAAACTGTTGCGCCACGATCGAGGAATCGATCGTTCTTTTGACTGACAAGTGCCGAGGTATCTCAGTCGAGAGTCCGTCGCAAACGTCGAGAAGAAAGGCGTACCTAGGATGCCCTCAAGACGATGAGAGTTCGTGCAGGGGAACACGCGTCGAGGACTCCGCCTGCGTTGTGAGAGTCACGACGTCGAGAAAGAAGTCCAGTCCAATCCAAACCAAATCCCGTCAACTCGAGAAAGGATATGCTGTACCAACTGCCAAGCTTCAGGTCAGAAAATTAGGTAACCGGTACGGGTGGTTAGCCTGACCTGGAAGCTGAAATCATAGAAACACAACTGGCAAATTCCAGAATTTATGGAATGGGGGTGATCTCCTCGGAAAATGTAGAGTATGTCTCTCATATGTACAAGGCCTATAAATAGAGCCATCTGGATTTATTAAGGTTTTTTTTTACGCACTATTCTACTACTTCAGAAGGATTATAATCAACAAAATATTAGTGCATCCACAAGTGAACGTAAGCAAATAATTCTTGCCGAACCACTATAAACTTCTATCTTCTTTATCTTTTCATGCAACGATAATCCTTAATTATCCATGAGAGATTACTGTGAGTATTCTCAGAGAATTAATCTTTAATTGACCAAAATTAACCGTGAACTGGAACTTTTTATTATTATTATTTTTGGCGTATCTTGCTATAAGTGTTGAGATTCATAGTTCTATCGCCTTATTACTATTTCTTAAACAAAATGTTTACCGATGCATGGGGGCATTTTTGACATTTAAAAAAATTAATGGTCAAACTTAGATCAATAATCACGATCAACTAATGGAAGAGTGTAACTATATCAGTAATCTTTTTAAAAGTCAGGGGAGTGGACTTAATTATAATTGGTAAGGGTGTAAGAGTAAAAATATTTCTATATGACCTGAATTCAGCACAAAAGAAACCATTCAAATCATATTTCCTCACTTCATTCTTCATTTTATCATATCTCACATGGATCAACCACAAACTCAAACACGACAGCACGTGGCGATTCTACCGTCGCCGGGAATGGGTCACGTGATCCCGATGGTTGAGTTCGCCAAGCGCTTTGTCCGAAACCACAACTTCACCGTCACCTTTTTGGTTCCCACCAGCGGTTCTCCATCAACGGCCATGAGATCCGTTTTCAACGGCCTACCGGATTCCATCGAACACGTTTTTCTCCCTCCGGTCAACTTCGACGACCTTCCAGAAGGTTCCAAGCTCGAGACTCGGATCGCCCTCACCGTCGTCCGCTCCCTCGCTTCCCTCCGCGACGCGCTCGCGTCCCTCTTCTCGCGGCGCGTGGGCGTCGTCGCCCTTGTCGTCGATCACTTCGGTTTGGACGCCTTCGACGTAGCGAGAGAATTCAACTTGCCCTCGTACCTTTTTTACCCCTCACCGGCGATGGTCTTGTCTCTGATCCTCCACTTGCCGGAGCTCGACGAATCGACGTCGTCCGAGTACTGGGAGTTGACGGATCCGGTGAAGATCCCGGGTTGTTTCCCAATTCCAGGTAAGGATTTACTCGACCCGATTCAGGACAGGAAGAGCGATGTCTACAAGTTGACTCTGCACAAAGCAAAACAGTACCGTTTGGTCGACGGAATCATCGTCAATACGTTCAACGATCTGGAGCCACGGGCAATTTCGTCCTTGCAGGAGAGGGAAGCCACTGAAAAACTGCCACGTGTGTACCCCGTGGGACCACTTGCCAAAATACAGAGAACCAACTTGACCGAGGAGGAGTCGCAATGTCTCATCTGGCTGGATGGACAGCCACGTGTCAGTGTTCTATTCATTTCGTTCGGGAGCGGTGGGACCCTCTCATCCGACCAAACCAACGAGCTGGCCTTGGGATTGGAGAATAGCGAGCAGAGATTCCTGTGGGTCGTGAGGCCGCCAAACGACAGGGCCGCGAGCGCCGCGTACTTCAAGGTCAACAGCCAAAACGAGTCGTCGTTTGACTTCTTACCCGATGGGTTTCTTGGCCGGACCAGGGATCGGGGCCTGGTGGTGCATTCATGGGCCCCACAGGCTCAGATTCTAAGCCACAGCTCAATTGGCGGGTTCTTGACCCACTGCGGTTGGAACTCCATTCTAGAGAGCATGGTCAACGGCGTGCCTATGATCGTTTGGCCTCTCTTCGCCGAACAAAGAATGAATGCTTTTATGTTGACCGAAGACATAAAGGTAGCTCTGAGACCGAAAGCGAGCGAAAACGGCGTCGTTGAGAGGGAAGAGATTGCTAGAGTAATTAAGGCTCTTATGGAAGGAGGAGAAGATAGGGAAAAGCTAAGGAAGAGAATAGAGGAGCTGAAAGAAGCGGGTTCAACAGCTCTAACTGAAGATGGGAATTCTACTAAAGCGCTTGCTGACGTGGCTGATGTGTGGAAGAGCCAGATTAGAAATTAGACGCTTATTCCACTTTTTCATACATTTACTCTTAGTACTTCGTATGCTAATTTTAAGGAGTTTCGTGTGTTGTCTGCTGTCATTTTACTCTTATTGTAATGTTATTGATCGCATTATCAAGATATACATGGAAGTGTGTTCTAGAACCTTTGTGGTTTTTTTTTTTTTTTTTTTTTTTTCTTTTAATATGATCAAAGAACTGTGGTGCATGGTTGATATTTTTGTTGGTTGATATGTTTGTTGAGAGGTATACGAAAATGATTCTTGTTGAGGCTGTTCAGTTTTTTCATTTTTAAAGGCCCGCTGCACCTTTCTCGCTTGAAGGATCTATGAAAAGAACGTTCCATTACGAATTCCTACCCTGTTTTGTTGCGTTTTTTTCTTCCAAAAAATGCTTATTTTTTCAGAAAATTAAAAAAAAATAGAAGAATGACTTCAAAGTACTCAAGATTGGGACATGACGCTTTTTCAAAAGGGCTAGCAATGTAAAATCAGTAAAAATAATCAATATTCTTGTTTAAGTTTGTTGATTTGTGAATGGTATAGGAATATATTGTTCATCTTGCATAACCTATTGAAACCGTTACTGAAATTTACATTCTGAGAACTAGATTCACATATGAATATGTTGGAAATGGTTTGAAGAATTTTTAGTCATAATTAATTAAGAAGAATTTTATGCAGGACACTAAGTTTCAGTTAACAGGGGTAATAATGCTATAGCATTTCCTGCAGCATTTACAGTCAGACTTGCAACTGAGGGGAAATTAGCAATCCCAATTTGTTTAAATCACTGATTACAACCTGTAGCTGCATTTTTGTCATTTCTATCATATTTGGCTTCATTTATATTACACTTATTTCTTTACATCATTTTAGTGAATTTTTGTTTAGTTTATTCTTTCACTTAATTTGGTGTTTGCATGATTTTTACACTATATTATTGGTGATTCAATCTCCGTGGGAACGGTATCCGTACTCCAGTACACTTTATTACTTGTACGATCCGTGAACTTGCGGAATCACACAATAAGTTTTTAGCGCCGTTGCCGGGGATTGAAGTCATTGAGAATATTTGTAGAAGTCATTTTGTTTACTTTAGTCTCATTCATTTTGTTTGTTTAATTTGATTAATATCATACCAATTAGCTTTCGGATTAATTTGAACATTTTTATTTTATTTGCTTTTACTTTATTTTTCCTTATTTTTAATCTTTGTTGTTTTGTTTATGTTATTTGAGGCACCTAATGATGTTTCATCGGCAAGTCCTCGCAAACTTTGCCCAACAAGATATGGAATCTTTTTATATGGCTTGGGAGAGATTCAAAGACATGCTTGAAAGGTTCCCAAATCACCAATTGCCAAAGTGGCGCCTTCTTCAAATGTTTTACTATGGATTGAGTTATGAGGCTAGATATTGGGTTGAAAATGGAGCTATTATTCTTTTCAATAACCGTTGATGAGGCCTACTACTTATTGGAGGATATCGCCACTATCAACTATCACGTAATGTACAATCAAGGTTGGGAAAGCCACCAAAATCCCTCATGGAGTAGCCAACCCCCCTTTGGAAGTTGTTTTGGAGAGACAAATTGCCCTCTTCGAGGAAATGTGTGAAATCACTGACTCTAGGCGCTTTCTTGATGACCAAATGGAGCGCCTTAAGAGCACAATTTCAAGGAGCCACCTAGAGGAGGATAAGCAAACAATGAATCCTCGTAGTGACCATGAAACGAAAAAGCCTATGGTGTTGTTTGATGATGATTGTGTGGAACCTCGGGAATTTGAGCCTCTAGAGTATATTGAGCCTTGGGATGAAGATTTAAGAGCCCTTGATGTTGTTTTAGCTCAAAACTTAGTTAAGATGGACACTCACGTGATCAAAACCGATTTACATCTTCTAAGTGACGTGATGTCCATTCCCAGTCATGAGTTCTGTGATACTCAAATCGCAAGCATAGTTTTGGATAGTCAATTGGAGCGTGAAGAGCATTTTGAACAGATGTTAGAGGAATTCCTACAAGAGGGAGAAGTAAAAGAGTCATTGGAGGATGTCGAAGCTCACGAGACCATTGATTTAAGCTCATCAATGGCACTATTGTATACACCTCCAAACGACCCATTTTGGCCATCGTCACCAACACCACCATATTACTCTTTTCAAGTTCATCAACAGCACTATTGTATACCCATGTGTAGTGTCATATGACACTTACTATAGACAAAAGTCGCTCTGTGATAGCGCTTCACTAAGAGTCCGGCTGAAGACGCTAAAGCAAGCACTCCTTGGGAGGCAACCCAAGTTTTTTAAACCTTTACTTGTTTTCCTTCCTTTCAAGTTTTAGTTTTAAGTTTTTAGAACTTTGTTACTTTGCTTTAGTGTTTCTCTTTTGTAGGTGCAAGTGTCGGAGCTTAAAAAATGGGATCAATTCAAGAGAGTGAGCAAGCATTGAAGTCTAAGCGCCAAATTGACATAGGAGAGTTTCTTAAACCTTTCCTTAAGTTTTTGATTGCCTACACACTGAGGATATTGTGCTTGATAAGTTTGGGGGGAAACTTTGTTTGTCTTTGTATTTATGTTTGTTTGTTTTTGCGTCTTTAAAAAAAAAAAATTAGAGTCTTGTGTTTTCTTGATATTTAGTGTATTTTTGTGGTGAATTCTCTTGTACTCATGATGAATATGATTGGATTGAGCATAGCTTTTAAAAAAGGATGATTTCTACTTATTTTTATGCTTATATTCAATTGATTGTCTTATTCAAAGATTGTAATTTTCTTCATTGGAGCACCTAGCCTAGTGTAATTGATTCACTGAATTTCTAGTGAAGGATTGTGTAAATGTGTTTTATTCTTCGATCTCACAAGCTCTACAACTTGTTGAGGCGAATGTTAGTTTCTGAATCGAATTCGGATGCGGAAGCGTGAGAGTAGCGGATCGTGTATAACAAAAATTTTCACAAAACATTTGCAATACTCTATAGATTATATTAACTTATGCAGGAATAAATTAATCATATTAATTTATCTACCATGAACTGGATTAGGAATTATAACTAGCAACCGATTAGGATGATAACTTGAGTTCTTTAACCTTGAACAATCCTCGCTCCAATGCTTTGTCTAGAAAACCTGAGCCTTCCTCGTCAATTTCTTGAATCTACGAGGACGTGTGTGTGGGCACACCTGAAACAAAACGGGTTAACAAAAACACTCAAGAATTTTCACGAACACCAACGCATGTACGACGTGAAATTTTTGGAGAAAAATTTTTCCTCTCACAACACTTGTGAAAACCGGCCACTATATAAAATTAAGAGCAAAAAAGTGTGTCTCACAATTTTATACTATCTCCTTATTTATAGATTAGTAGTTGGACTCCTAGAAGGAGTCTTGCCTTTATCTCCAAGATAAAGCTTATTTATTTTCTCCCACTTTAAATTTGATTTTGAAACAAAATCTCCCATCCTTATCCACTTGATATGGCCGGCCAAGATAGGGGTTCTTATCCATGTGGTAGGCGCCAAATACAGATAGGAAAGGAAGAGAAAATCATCCTTTATCCTCCAGTTCAATTTTGACTCAAATTCAAATTCTAATTTAAGTCAAACTTAAATTAATTGAATTCTAAATTGAATAACTTATCAAATAAGTTTAAATGGATAATTCAAGATGTGTTCACACTACGTGTTCACACTATACCTCGTGTTCAAACTCTGTGAACACCTTCACATAAGTGATCCAAAATTTAAATTTAAATTTAAATTTAAATAATCTCATTATTGAAATAATAATTAATTCTCAATTAATTAATCTTGAGTATTTAATTTTAGAATTCTGTAATTCTAAAACTCTCATTTTGCCCATAGTGTCACTACAAGAAATATCAGCATTAGTAGCTGACTAAAAACGCTATTAAGCACTAGTAATAGCGTTTTATGGAGCCCTAGGACATCGGACGCTATTAAAAGTTTAAAGAAAAAATAGCGTTCAAGGAGCGTTATGGAAAACGCTATAGAATTGAGGTATTATATCGTTCAAGACAAGTTATATTCAACCTCTTACAGCTATTTAGCATGGCTATGGTACAGATTAATAGCTTTTTTCCCTTGTCATGTTCATACTCTTGTACCTTTTTAAAATTATTATTGATATGCTTTTGAACATTCCGAGCAACATGTTACATCTAAATAGGAACCTTCAAATTAAAACATAAAAACATTTAACATATCAATTGTTATAAGTATCTAGCAAGTTGGCAATAAAATTACATCTACAACATAAGCCATACAATGTCCAAAACCTTAACATTCAAAACAAGTAAAGAAAATAGAGAAATAGCTAGAGATATCAAAGTATCCAAAACGTCTAGCTAAATGAAATGAAGTAAATCCTTCCATCTTGACAAAATGCTTCAACAAAAAAGTCATCTCCATTGTTTAACCTGTAAGAAAGTGATCCATTATCAAAACAATAATCAAACTCAATAAAACTTTCACCATTTCACCTATAAATAAAGCAAGGACTTGTTACACTATTCACAACTACATAGCCACATCCACATATGTTTTGCAATGAGTTAGAGGAAACATGGCTTCAATGATGCACTAGACAAAAATTTAATGTCAAACTTGTAAGACAAAGAGTATCTTACATGTATTGTTGTGTAGATAGTTAGAAAAAGCATGAGTCTTCATTACCTACATTTAAACCCGAAGAGGAAAAAAACTTACTATCACAATCATATAATACTTTGGTTAAAACAAACTTGTAGCTAGTAAAGATTTTTAATACCCCATTAAAATTTTATAAGCAGGTCATGCCACATTACTTGAAATTGCTTCTTCAATGGTACTCATCTCACGTGTTGGCCTCCACAAGAAAGCGTCTGGTTTTTTTGCTACATCCACCTACACTCTAACAGCATTTGGTCCAAGAGGTACATGGTGAACGAGGTCTTTCGGGTCGCTTGGCATCAAACGCCCTTCAGCAACAACTTCTCTGTTTCTAACCCAATCTAATAGCTTACACTTGTTGGTAATTTTGGGTAAATTAGTACTCACACTCTGACAATAATTCAATAAACATAAGCAATTACAAATAAAAAAACGTTAGTACATGAAAAACTTGATTTCATCCCGTTTAAAA